ATCTGATCTCTCGCTTCTTTCTTTCTTTTTTTTTGATGTGGGGGTCTCACTGTGTAGTCTAAGTTGGCCTCAAACTCATAATCCTCTTGCCTCAGCAAGACAACATAGATATGTCTCACCATATCTTCCATGGACATTTCCCGTGACTCTGCACTGAGTACAGACGACAGATGAAGGACGAAATAGAGGAAAAGACTGAACATGAGCATCTAGTTCCTCATTTTAGGGAAAAGTAGTAGTCTTTTGGTTATGTGTGAGGGTCATTATACTTTTTTTGGGGGTTGGGTTTTGTCTGTGTGTGTGTGTGTGTTTGTTTGTTTTAATCTTTTTTTTTAAACATTTCTATTTACTCTGGTAGCTACATTTTGCCAAGCCAAGGAAATTCCTTTCTGTCCCTAGTCAGAGGACAGTCCATCTGGGAGTCAGGAAGAGCTGTCTTGTGCTTTTCTGTGTCCCTGTGGCCATCACCTTGGCTTTCCTGAACTGGTTGCTTTTTGGAGGCAAAGCCAGTTTTGCAGCAGTAGAGAGGTCTTCCCAGCACCTCCTCCCAAAATCTGGACAGTTTCTGCACTTTATTGCAGATGTTTAGAAATTCATATTTACTATCATTTTAGGTAAAATTGGGTGTGTATCTGTCATCTTGTTCTCTTATTTTCTTATTTGTTCTTTCTTCTTTGGGATGACTTTTCCCGCTTTCACCCCCCGTGCCACTCCATCGTGTGAAATCATCCGATGGGTTAGAGAGTTTAGACTAAACTGGCTTTTTAAGATGAGGTCTTTCTATATTGCCCAGGCCCCAGTCTGAACTCTGATGCCCCAGCCATTCTTTTGGTGTAGACACTGGAGTTGTTGGGATTAGAGTGACATCAAACTCTGCTTCCTGCCTTTTAGCCTGATGAAGCCTAGCTTCAATTCATATTACCTCATAAGCAGAAAATAATTACATTATATTTCCATTGTTGCAGAGTTTCTATTGCAATTATATATTTTAAATTTTCATATATGTGGTCACTCCACCCCAGCCATCTATCTGTGCTTTCTTTGCACAGTTCTGTTTCGTTCAAGTCCAGTAACCTTGCTTTGGCAATTATCCATCATCTTAATTTCAGGCTCTTAATTCCATACATAGAAATTAGATTTGTGGTTGCAAGATTCCCCCCCCATGATTGTATGCAACATCTCCATTTTCTTTCTGGCACCCCATCTTCCATACTCATAGTCCCACTCCACAGTTAAGGTTGTCCTGCTGTAACTCATGATCCCCCAGCCTCAGTCTCCTGAGTGCTGAGACATCTCACTACTCCTGGCTTTCTGTAACTTCTGAAAAACAGAAATAATCACAGAAAACGTGTGATGTTTCTACTTTCTAACTCTGCTACCTGTTGCTTTGGTCCACCTTCCCCATCTGAGTTAGAACTTCACATTTCTTTTCGTGTTTATACAGGACATCTGGAATTATGCTGAATTTTTCTATTTCAGCACATGCTTCTGGGATGTGTCTGGGTTACTTGGAAGCTGGGAAATCCTCTGGGTGTCATTTTCACACATCATCAGGAAGGGGCAAATTACTTGGTCTGGGTGATTCTTCCCCACTTCAACTGAGGAAAGCTGCTTTTTAATTCTAGCTACTGTCACTTGAACTTTGGGGTCTGACTTGGGCTTCGACACGGTGTCTGACTGAACCCAGTATTTCCTGTTCTCCTAGAATTTCCCACCCTTGTTTTCTCTGTCCTTTCTGGACACTGGCCCTCAGTGCTTGATGGGGTTCTCTGAAGTCTCTGGAAATCAGTGGATTTTGTCCTCTTGCCCTCTACCTGCATCTCACCTGGGCTCTGCTTGGGGGTGTTGAGGACAGTGGTTGGCAGCCATCTCCCAAGAGGTACCATCTGTCCTTTGCTGCCTTTCTCATGTCTTCAGTGGCTTCCACATATATTTGTCATCGTTAATTGTTTCAGGTAAGAGTGCAGATCTAATCCCTACTACATCTCAGTTTTCTGCAGATCTCTTTGGGGACATATGTATTTTCCAGCCTCTGCAGGTGATCCTGAGCTATTCTCACAGTAAGGTTGGTTGTCTACCTTGTTCAGCCATACTTTTAGGCCATCACAGAGCCTGGTCTTACCATGGTTCAGAGAATGAGGATCACAGAGAATTAGGAAATGGGGGGCTTACCTCTGCTGGCAGATGCGGGAAACAAACTGGTGATGCTTTGGAGTGGGATTGCCCGACTGGACACGGAATAGCCAACCACCTGGTTTCACTTTTAAAGGGGCAGGGCTTGCACTCAAGACACTCCGGGTTTCGGGATCCAAAGCGCAGTGAGGCGAGCCGAGCCAGGTTCCAAAGCTGCGCAGCGGTTTCCAGACAGCAGGAGTGGATACCCTGTGAGCAAGCAGGACGTGGCGGGGCGGGGCTGGTAAATTCCCTCCAGACCTGCTGGACCTATCACCTCCGCCAGGGGGCAGCGAGTTCTCTCGTCGGACAGAGGTAAGGAGTCGAGAGCCTGGGTGGGCAAGCCATAGGGAATAGATGCAGGGGGGCGGTCTCCCCATAAGGGAACAGATAAGGTAAAGGAGGTTGAAGGTGGTGACCAGGGGATTAGGGCCTAGTGGCCAGGCAGGAGGGAGGCAAAGGGTTGTGCTTCTCCCTTCCTGGCACACCTGTACTGACACATCTATGTCTTCGAACAAGCCTCACTCACCTGTGGTCTCCACACATTTCTAACTTCAACCCATCACCTATTTTTTTCTGCCCATTGGGCTCACCTGCTTTTAACCTCCCCATACTACAGAGCCACCTCGACACACAACTGCCCTTGGCAGCAACACAATGTAGTAGCTCTCTACATGCTTCAGTGGCATCTCCTCACAAAACTTGCTGTGGAGTCAGGATCTACTCAGACTAGCCAGGACCACTCTGTTTTAAATGTTTTCTGTGACTCCAGTACTAGCCCACGTCCTCTGGTAACCCAGAAAAAGTTCTGTGGGCTGCTTCTGAGACAGAGTGTTGCAGTTGAGATGGGTACTTGGACCTTTGGGCAGAGGAGGCAAGGCTCACCTCCATTTGCCCATCAGAAGCCCACACTGGCCCAGAAACAGAATTTGTGGCTAGGAACACTAGGGTATTCCTCAGTTTCATTCTTCTCTGGAAGGCTTCCCAGAAGAGGGAAGGGGCTCTGGGGGGGGGGGGGTTTCTTAGCTTAGAGAAGAAAAGCTGTCTGGATCAGGATCCCTGAAAGCAGACTTAGGAGTGGTCTCTTGGGAATGGACTTATTGAGGCTACCAGGGCCTCAAAAATTATGGAACTTATGTTGAGAAAACTGGGAAGACCCATGTTTTGATGAATTTTGGCTCTGGTGAGTGAGGATAGGCAGGAAGCTGTGAGGTAGCTGTTCCGGCGGGTGAGAATGCGTGTGATGGATCAGAGAGCTGCTGCAAGTTGCTGGTGAGGCTTGGGAAACTCACCAGTCTTTCTGTTTGATGGGTGCAGGGGCACAGTAAGACACTTACAAGTAGCAAAGACAAAAGGGTGTGTTGATTTATTATTACCCACGTCCTGTGATTACTATCACAAAACAGGTGAGGGGCAGAGAAGCCTCCAGGTGGGCCGTAGGACCCTATCAGCCTTCCAAGGGTCACTAGGTACAACTAGATGCTCAAGTCAGGGCTTCGTTGGACTCCAGTACTGGAGATCTGTCCCCCAGCATCCCCCCCTCCTCAAACAAGAGCAGCACAGTGGCTTCTCTACTCACAGGAACTCGAAGGTTCGTGGACTTAAAGCCCAGTAGTGTTTTGGGCCGTCAGGCTCCCTTCCTCCTGTTTAAAGCCGAGACTGGAGACGGTGCAGTAACGGCCAGCTCTGGGGGCCAGGGGCCTGGCTGATGCAGATACGGAGTGGGCTCCGCAGCCATCAGCTGGTCTCCAGGCTAGCGGGATCGCGCGTTTCCAGAGTACAAGGGCGGGGGCGCGGCGAGGCAGAGGGGATTGGGCGCGCTCCGGGGAGCCGCTGGCCAGAAGGGCAGAAGCACTTCGAGGGTTAAGCTGCGAGCCTGGCGGGCACGTGTGCGGATTGGAGCAAAGTTTCGGGGAGGGGCGGGGAACAGGGCGGACTGGAGCTCGCAGATTGGCCGGAAGTTGTGAGGGGCGGAGCTCAGGGCTGCTCCGCGCTCGCTCCGGGAGAGTTGACAAAGCCCCGCAGGGAAGGACGCCTCGCGGCGCGGCGCCCCGGGCCCCTCGCCCTGCCGCCCCTCTTTCGGGCCCGCGCCTAGCCTCGCCGTTTATCCGCGCGGACAACGCGCCCCGCGCCCCAGCCCGGCCCCAGCCGCCAGCGCCCAGGTAGCGCCGCCCCGCCCAGGCCGGGCCCGGGGGCGCGGGGGGCGGGATGCGGCGCCCGGGGCAGCGATGACCGCGTCGCGCTGCTCAGGGGCCTGGCTCTAACCCCGTTGCCTGCTGCGCGCCCGCGCGCTGATCCCTGTCGAGGTGAGCCGGGCTGTACGTCTGCGACCCCCCCCCCCGGAGGGAGGGCTGGAATGGATTGGAGTGCGGGGCGCGAAGGGCAGGGCCGGGATCACTGTGCGGGGCGGGAGCCCGGCTCGCGTCGTAGCTGCTCCTGTGGGGCCCGCAGCCCTACCCCGCGCCCCGCCCCCGCTTGAGCCCCACGTGGGCCCCCCAGCGCAAATTTGTCCGCTAATGGCGCAGGCGATTATCTGCGGGGCCGCTCGGTGTTGTGTGTCCCGCGGGCAGGGCCCGAATTACAAGCGCCAGGAATCCAGACGGTGTTTGGAGAGGGGGCGGCGGGGGCGGCTGGTAATCAGTGTAAACCCTTTGTCTGCCTTTGATACGCTCAGCGTCTACGCGCCTAGCTTCCTTTGCCTGGAGCTCGGCGCTGAGGGGGGCCGGACCAGACCCTTGCTCAGCGGCTGTGACCTGGGTCTTGCGGGCCTGAGCCCTGAGTGGCGTCCAGTCCAGCTCCCAGTGACCGCACCCCTACTTCAGGTCCGACCGGCGAGATGACGCGGAGCCCTGCGCTGCTGCTGCTGCTATTGGGGGCCCTCCCGTCGGCTGAGGCGGCGCGAGGTGAGTCCTGGCGCCCAGTCTGGCGCTCTGGCCTCTGCAGCGCCGCTCCTTTCCCGCCAGCCCTGAACCTTGCCACAGTGCCCGCCTGGCACACTCCTCCCCTCCCTGTCTGCCTCATCGCAGCGGTTCCCCACCCCTGATCCTTAACCGAAGTACTGCCAGCTTTACATGCCTCTACCTCACTCCTGGGGTTACCTAGTCATACTCAAAATAACCCCAGCTGGCCGTCTTTGGCTGACACCACACCTAAAGGGCCCCAGAATCATTTGACTTGTTGGCGTTGCCTGGGTCCCTTCCAGGGCAGGCTCATAATCTTGCATACTCATACTTTCAGGTGCATTTCTAGGTGGAGAGCAGGTGGTCCCCCCCCCTTACACACACACAGATTCTTGAGAAGTGGACTCTTTGTGGCCCCAGAAAATCTAATTAGGTCCCTGGGAACTTGTAGAGACTCACATAGTGGCTAACTGAATCTGGAGAGCATTGGTTACGTCTTGGTGATTGGGGCTCACTCTGCTCCAGTCCTCAGCTGACCCAGCTCTGGACTCTTAGCTTCTCTATTACAGGTAGCATAGTGTATCATCTGGGAGTCCTCAGAGCACAGGACATCACTATACAGTGAAGGCTGGACGATGCCTGAAGATCTTAGACCACAGGGTCTCACACTATATTGTTGCAGGGTACACCACACTATGGCTTGGATACAGCCTCACCTTCTGTCTTATCTCCTGTTCTGTGAGGAGCTCTGCCCTAGACCTAGCTCTGGCAAAGGGCATCCAGATCTGATGGGTGATACATGCCCATGGATTTTTGGCCACCGTGTTGCAGTGTCACAGGGCACAGTGCTGGGCTCTCCAATGGTTAGTCAGGACTAATGGCCAGGCGGGCCCTTTGGGTGTGTTGGCCACTCAGGACTGTTCTTGCTCTGTCCACCAGTCCTCTGAGGCTTCGCATCTCCTCCCCCCGCCAGCAGCGCGGGCGCACTGAGCCTAACCTGGCCTTATATGGCCACGTTGGTGTTGGGCGGCGGGCGGCGGCCCAGGTGGGCCTTATGCCACTATAACCCCCCCTCTTCTGCTTGGGTACTGGCTGGCTGGAGGGTGGGGGCTGTCCAGGCACAGTTGGGCTGGACAGTGTCCTCGGCATGTAGGCACTTGGACCATACTGGGTGAGTTGTCTCTTGACTAACACCACCCCCAACTGGTGGTCCAGTCTTTGATTGCTCTTTTATCCATTTGGATACACCCCATCCCTGCACCTGCCTCCTCTTTGCTCAGCAAAAGAGGCTCTGAAGGCTTCTCTGCCCTGCCATGATCACTGGCTGGACCTTCAGGCTGATTGATGGGTGGCAGTAGGCAGCCGCACTACCTTTTTGCTGATGGTCCTAGAGGGGGCACGGTTTCTGCCTTTGTCTTCCTTGACCAGAGTCTTGGGACTGTGCCTTGTATCTGGCTCTGGCTGTGCTAGTGAAGGCCTCTGGCCAGCTCTAGGGAGCTGGAAAGAGCTGCCTTCCAAGGGCAAGAGCCGTGTGGTTGGGGTGGAAGAATGGCGTTTCCTGAATTATGCTGACTTCTCCCTTCAGGCACAGTCTGGCCTGGAGGGGCAAAGCTTTTCCAAATGCATTCCTTCTCCAGTGGTTCTTCTGTGAGTAGGCCCACTTTCGACCTTAAGTTGGGCCAAAGAACTGCATGTAGAGTTTGGGTTGTTTTGAAAGCTATTTCCCTGGGGTGTCACAGTTTTTGGAATCTGTACATCTCTAGATTGGGATCGTATTTTAAAAGTTCCCCTTTGCCCAGAGTTTCACAATGTGGTGAATTTGCCCCTTTGGAAAAAAAAGTTTTGGTTTAGTCCATTCTGTTTCTCAGTTAGAATGTAAGTTTCAGAACAGAATACCATTTGCAAAGATAAGTCGTGAAGAAGTGAAGTGCCACCTCTGAACTTTTATAAGGATAAGTCCAGAGCCAGCCTCTGAGCAGCCAGCATAGGTGTCCTTTCTGTCTTCTGAACCCAGCCTTTGGTTTGGAGCGAGCTGGCCCTGATGGACAGCTGGGGTGTCTGCCATGGCTGTTCAGTGCAGCAGTTTGCCCAGGGTACTGTGTTGTGGAGAAGAGTGTGCATGTGGTGCTCTGGAGATGATGACTGGCCATTTGTGTGGGGCTGACCCTGGCTTTTAAACAGTCTGTAGGAGGCCTCTTTTCTTCACAGGCTGTGGCCGATCAGAGTGTGGCTGGACTGAGGTAGATGTTCAGGAGCCAGGCCTAGGCCCTGTGATGTAGGGATGTGGGCCAGCCTCCCATTCACATCTGGGGCCCTATTCCTGGAAGGGAAAATAAATCACTGTCCCCCTGGGGGTGGGGAGGTAGCTGCAAACAAAGTCGCCTTTGGCTAGGTCTGGAAATACCGACCACAGGCTCCTTTATCCTTTGTGCAGGATCAATGGGCTTCTGGGCTCTCAGAGTTGCCTTTCAGTCAGCCTGCTCTATGCTATGGCCCTTACTAGGGAAATGTTGGTTTTTCCCCAGCTGAGGCCTCTAGTCTCTGGTTTTCCTGGCCTTGGCTCAGTCTTTCCTGGTAATGCTGGGGGCAGTTGGCTGTGGCCCAACAGCCTCATTCCCCCTCCTGGCCACCTGCCCTTTGTATAGCCAGGGCCTGATGCTTTGCTCATGGTGGCCTCTTCTCCATCATTTTGCCTTAATGTGGTGACTCCAGAATGTATAGGGGGTAAGGTGTGTCTAAGCCCCTGTTCCCGTACTTCATTAGGTACCGTCCTCTGCCTGCTACTTGCTCTTCTAACCAGTACTCTTGCCTACATGTCAAGGTGGAGGAGAGCAAGGGGTTCCTGAGAATGAGGTAGGGGGAGCTAAGAGCCTCAGGCTGGGGTGCAGACAGAGTAGGCTCATGGTGGGTATAGTCTGGGTAGGCCTAGGAGAGGTGGAAGGTGGTGAGAAGGTGCTATTGGGCAGCTGCAAACAGCAAGAGCTTCCCACTGAGCAGGAAGTACAAGTCCTCTTTCCACCAGGAGTTTCTTCCCTGAGGGATTTGTATGAGCTGTAAAGGGTCTGTAGAGCTAGTGATGGTGCCCGTAGTAGTAGGTGGGGAAGGGGGCCATATGCCATTCTGGCTCAGGTGTGGTGCTGGACAGTAGGAGAAGGTTCCAGCAGGAAGGTGCTCTGCAGGACACTTGGGACACCGGGCCAGAGCCTTCTACTGAGCTGCCCCTATATTCCTTACAGCCTGTGCTCCAGCTTCTGGGGGTAGTGGTGTGGCATGGGCTGAGGCTTGGAGCCACGCATTGCTGAGGGCAACTGGGACCCTTGGCTTGGAGCCCTGACATCCTCAACTCTGTCCCTAAGAAATCCGTGTCGGCAGTGTTGTGGGCTGTTGGATGGGTTTGCCAGACTATTTGCTTTAGGCAGGCCAAACATTTCATCAGTCTTTGTTGGGGCTAGGTGGGTAGCATATTGCCTCAGGAGCTTTGAGTCCTGGAGATAGCCTTATTTTGACAGTTTTTGAGGTATTGGGTACTTCCAGGATCAGAGTTAGGCCTTGCTTAGGAACAGTGCCTGCTGTGTGCCCTGACTTGAAGCTAGCTCATGGCCCAACAAGCTAGTGTTTGTGAGAAGATGGTCAGGGGCTGGATGTCCAGTGTGTCCCCCTCAGTGGGTTCTATGGATGGTGTGCGTGTGGCTATGCTATATGGTCTTGGTGGATCAGGGAGTGTCTAGGAGCTAGCAGTGTACACATGTGACAGCTGAGGTATTCCAGAGACAGGAACAGACCTAGGGGACCAGGCAGTGCCTCTAAAGAACCCTCTCCCCTACATCCTTCTGGCTTGCCTAATTGCTACTTCTGGGTAACAGGCAAGCTAGCTCCACTAACTAACTTATTGGAGCATGGTGTCTCTTTGAGGTGCCTTGTTGGCCTGGTTTATGGGATAGCCTCTTGCCTGGGTCCTATCAGTCTGGCTGCAGAGCCTATGAATCTGGCCCTTGGCACCTTCAGTTAGTTGCCGAGCCCTAGTCCTTTCATAGTACTAGGCCTGTGTGTGTCATTGGCCACAATTGTAAGTGCACACGCACACACAGACATGTGTTTGTGCATGCGCGCGCGCGCGTATGTATGTGTGTGTGTTTGTACTCGTGTCCATGCAGTTATATGCCTTCAAGGATCTTTAGCCTCAGGACAAGACAAAGCCTGGCCCTGAACACCTAATGGGCCTTGTGACTGTCACCTATGCTCTTTTCCTTTGAGGGACATCTGCTATTTCCTGGGCTTTGGAACTTAAGGACTGTCTATGGGCTTCTCATCTGTCCCTGTCCTGGGGGTCTAGCTGTAAGTATTGTGGGATATATGTCCCCAGAGGCTAGGGCAGTGCCTTGGTAGGGGTATGTTATACCAGTCATAGGAAGCTCATTACCTGTTTGGTCCATTGCTATTGGACAGGTGCCTTGTGATTCTCCTTGGGTTGGCTCCTATTGTAGTCCCTCTGGGGTCTTGGAGCGAGGTGTCCAGAGGGCCAGGTGGGCTCTTCTGCTCCTTTGTGGCTGAGACTTTCCACACCGTTCTTGGAGTAGTCCCCAAGTTAATCACTTTGCATCTCCAGGAGGAGGTTCACTGTGAGCTAGCTGACCAACTCCATAGCCAACCTCACTGCTTAGCCAGAGAATTCCTTTCAGGACAGAAATTCCTAGGGCCATGCAGGCATCACAAGGGCCAAGCTAGGCCTGAGTTGGCCAGGTGTTCTCACACTTTGTCCAGGGTCAGTTGCTAGCTGGTGCCTAGACCAGCCCTTTGAGGAGGGGAGTTCAGGTCAACAGGCCTGGAACCCCAACTTTCTGTCTCAGGCTCCAGGCCTGACCCTTTGGGCATTTTCCCCTATAGTCCCCAGCCTGGCATCTAGACCTGACACTGACCACATCCTTCAGGTTATGAACTTACATACAGACTGTGCCTCCTACAGAAGGTCCCTATGCTGTTTCCTCCTGGATTAATGTTTAGTCTCACCTGGCTGGGACTGTATGGGTTTTTCAGAGGTCATACAAGCCCTGTTAGATGGCCAGGTATAGCCATTAGACCGCAGCCTCTGCCCAGAACTGTCCCCCTCACCCCCTGCAGCTATCCTGAGGCAGAGTGTGGGGTAATGCCCCCATTGTCTTGAGCTTCAAGTCCTTAGTTTCCTTACTGGCTGAGTAGGGTAGATGGCTGTCCAGGTAGAACAAAGGGGTCTGTGTTTCCTGAGTTAAATACAGATCGAAGGTGGCCATATTATGGCCCAAATTCCCAGAATTCTAGGGGCTGGGCCTTCTGCAGGGGTTGGGGGTGGGGTGGTCCTTATGTAGGTTTCTGTAACAAGCCTGGGAGCCCAACCCCACAGTGGGGTACAGTAGAACTTAGCTGGGGGCAGGGTTGGCAGGATACTGTTTGCTTTAGGATAAGGCTGGCTCCTCTGGCCGGCCTGTAGCCAGCCTGTCCCCCAGCAGTATGTGCAGGCAGGCCCCAAGGACCAAGCTTCCGGCCATCTGGCAATTACTTAGCCGTGTCCCTCAGCAATGGTCATAGCAGGGCTTCTGCCTCTTAGTGCCCCCTCCTCTAGGCTTCTCTTCCTCTGTCTGAGGCCAAGAGGAGTGGTGTTTCCTAGAGGCACAGCGAGACTAGGTTTCTCTGAGGATTTACCTATGTGGTTTAGGGTGATAGATTAGTTTAGCCTTCGGGCATTCCCCAGGTATGCCTTCAGAACACCTCCAGGCAACTGAATTCATGTGTGTATGCTTGCATGTATGGATCTGTCTGTGAGGATTCAGATTCCAGATTGGTTGGGGGCCATGGAGCTAATAGGCAGGGCTTTGGCCAGTTTCTCATTGACCTGAAGCTTGGGAGGTATTGTGAGTGGTGGGATTTCCGACAGTGACAGGGGTGGGCAGAGTTTGCTTAGGAATGGGGCTGAGACTTACAGAGGTACAGGGAAGAGATCTCAGAGGCCCACATGACGAGTGCCCAGCAGCCTTTCACACTGTAAGCTGGATGCAGGAGAACCTTGGGACAACTGTGCTTGGATTGGCCTTCTGCCTTAGGTGGTCTGTGAACAGAACCGATTGGGGCGAGGTGGGCTAACAGCCCTCTTCCTACCTCTGCTTTTTCCCTTTCTAGAGGGAGCTATGAAGGAAAATGAGGGAGGAAGGCTGGTGTTGAGATCTCAGATGGTAGCAGCTTTAGGCCCAGGGGAACTGAGTGGAAGCAGAATCTCAGAAATATGGGAAAGGATCTGGGCCATGTGGATACAAGTGAAAGAAGAGGCGTGGGAGGACCCCCTTCCTCTGTGGCTCCCCGGCCCATTGAACAGGAATGCTGCCCTTGGATTTTCACTGGGCGACATGGCCCCTCCCCTTGGGTTGACTTTTTTTTTTTTTTTGGCTTCCTTAAAATCCGCGTTAGTACTTCAGAGTGGGCCTTGAAAGAAAAGCAGCCTCTGGGAGTCTAATGGCATCCACAGAAGCATGCCTGGGCTGAAGGTGGCCACATAACCAGGGCAATTGCATGCTGAGAGAGTGCCAGCTGCTTATAAAAACCACACATGCCCCCAGGCCCCATGCTCATCACCACTGAGCTTGCACAGAGGGTCTGTCGGCACCAGTGTGCTTTATCCAACCTTGCATGCTCTGCCCAGGACCATCCTGGCTAGGATTATTTGATGTGCTAGGTAGGTGTTCCTCACCAACAGATTAGAGATGTGACGTGTGGGTGGGCTATAGGACCCTCTGTGTTCAGAGGTGACCCTATGACAGTCTCACACAGTGGATGTGGTACCCACCCTCTTAGCCTCCCTCATGAAAGCTCTTTTCCTGCAGCCTTTCTGGTACCTACAGGCTCTGTGCACTCTGTATTCACCCTCCCAGCCAGGTGGTCACTTGCTGCCTGCGACAACTGGTCACATTCGTGTCTAGTTACTTTCATGGTTGGGACTGAGAAGGATGCTTGAAGTGGGCTGGTGATGTTTGGAGTGTGTTTCTGATGGCTAGAGTTGTGGGTTCCAGGAATTAGCCTTTTCCAGGATGGTGGTCTTGACTTGTGGGACTTGAGCCTCTGCTATGGGCCCCTCCTGTGAGCATCCTGTTGGAGGGCTGGCTCCTAAGTCCAGGCTACCTCTCACGTATGACCTAGGGTCTGTCACCCACATGGACAGGACCCAGTGGGTTCTTCCTTATGAAGCAGATTTCCTAAATGAAATTCAGGTAAGGTACTGAGTGCCTCTGCCCGGCCCTTGCTTATCCTGTGTATCCAGGTAGCCCTCTAAGATTCCAACCCTCAAGATGCTTATCCTCTGACCCCATTATCTTGGTATTGTGTCCCTGTGGGGTCTAGCTACTGGCAGGCTATGGTCCCTTGGGACAGCTGACAGCCCTGAGCAAATTCTGTCCATGAAGTCAGAGCACACAGACGGAACAACCGTTCGTACGTGGGTGCATACACATCTATGCCTATAGGATACCCTTGCTGATGGCCATATGCATGTGGCAGTGAGTGCTGGCAGACATACACCTTGCTGTTTACCTGGGTGGTTCCTTCTGTTGACCCATTTCCATATAAAACAGGTGTAAGGTGGATGTCCCTTTCTCGGGCCTGACTGATCTGGGATGATGAAGGCTTTGTGGCCAGAGGTAGTACCATGTGCAACAGAGACATAAGATACCTATGAGGCCATGTGTACAGCCAGATAAGCCAGCCCCAAACCATCCTGCTGTCCTGTTCCTGTCCCCTCCTGTCCCCTCCTGTCTAACCAGGGAGCATATAGTTCTCTCGGGTGAGACAAAGAGACATCCCTGTTTTCTTGGTTTGAATTTTTTAAAATACTATTGAGTTAAGCTGTGTCCTGACCCCTGTGGCCTCTCCGTTCTCCTTCTCGGGGACGCTGCCTGCTATGGTGATACTGTGGCAAGCTGCTTGGGCTTGACACAGTAGGATGTGTTGGACCTAGGCTACTGTGGTTGGTAAATAAGGTTCATGTTTTGGGGCCTCTGCCATACCAAGCAGACTTCAGAGGAGTCTCGATGGGGTTCCACTGTGTCAAGTGTTTGCTCCCCTCATGTGTCCCCCATCCCTCTAACTCTTGCAGGACCCCCAAGAATGGCAGACAAAGTGGTCCCACGGCAGGTGGCCCGCCTGGGCCGCACTGTGCGGCTACAGTGCCCAGTGGAGGGGGACCCACCACCGTTGACCATGTGGACCAAAGATGGCCGCACAATCCATAGTGGCTGGAGCCGCTTCCGAGTGCTGCCCCAGGGGCTGAAGGTGAAGGAGGTGGAGGCTGAGGATGCCGGTGTTTATGTGTGCAAGGCCACCAATGGCTTTGGCAGCCTCAGCGTCAACTACACTCTCATCATCATGGGTCAGTTGGTGTGCGAGTCAGAGATGACTGTGGGGCCAACATTGGCTGGGCAGAGCATCCAGCAGGCAGAGCATCCAGCAGGCAGAGCATCCAGCAGACACACCTAGATTCTCCCACCCTGCTTGTTTAGCCTGCACCAAATCAACCTGGACATAGACAAGATTAGGAGGGTCTTCCTGCTCTATTCCCAGCCTGGGCCCTAGGACAGCCCAGGCCTCCCTGCCACCAGGCCAGCCTTGGGCCTTTGCTTCCAGGTGGCAGAAATGGATTGAGGGGGATGGGTAGCTCAGGCAGTGGTTCCCCTGAAGAGCTGCTGGGTGGGGTAGGGTGGAGTGGGCTGAGGACTTGGCAGTGCAAGCCTTGGCAGCCATGACTTTGAGGCTCAGGTTTCAGAGTTCAGAGGGGCCGCAAGAAGTGAATGGCCTCTGTTCTTTTCTGTCCCTAGGGCCCAGTCAATAGGGAATGGGCAGGTGTCTTTGGTGACACACCCTCCACACATTGGTAGCAGGCATGGCCTATCTTCTTTCTTGGGCTCCCTAGTGTGGGGCCCTTGGCCTGGCTGATTCTTTTTGCAGTGGAAGTCTAAGGTAGTGGCCTGGAACAGCCTGGTCCTTGATCCCAGGCTGGGTGGAAGAGGCGGCTGTCATAGAGCAGCAGGGGACATTCCTCATCACACCCTGCCCCTCCCCATCACTGCCTAGGACAGGCCTCAAGGCCTTCTCTGGGTTTGGAATGGGAATATTATGGCTGTCCACCCTCCCCACCCCCATCCTTTCAAAGAGGATGATGACCAGGCGGTATGTAAGCCATGTCTCTGCACCAAGCACTCGGCCCCTTGATGTGGGCTAGGGTTACTGCAGCTGCTGGCTGGGCCTAGCCCCCTCCTCGTGAGCCCTGCAGACCCCCCGGAGCCAGGGTGGGGGGCAGTTCTCCAGTCCCACCATGCCTATCAGTGTCACCTGCACCCCGGGAGGGGGCTGGCAGGCAGCCCTTGCCCAGCTGTCCCTGACTCCTGACATGTGGGTGTGTCCATGGCCTTTTCTTGGGTTCTAGGACTGTCTTAGCCAGAGCATGCTAGATGCTCTGATGAGGGGCTCCCCTGTATCCCTCACCTGGCCTCCTTATTACCGATTTCTCTGCAGATGACATTAGTCCAGGGAAGGAGAACCCTGGGCCAGATGGCTCTTCTGGGGGTCAGGAGGATCCAGCCAGCCAGCAGTGGGGTAAGTGTGGGGTAAGGAGACTCTGTGTGCTTGGGATAGGGCAGTGCTGTGCTCCTGGCATCCTCACATAGCCTTTCCTACTGACCTTAATGCTGCCCTGCTTCCAGCACGGCCTCGCTTCACACAGCCCTCCAAGATGAGGCGTCGAGTGATTGCACGGCCTGTGGGCAGCTCTGTGCGGCTCAAGTGTGTGGCCAGCGGGCACCCACGGCCGGACATCATGTGGATGAAGGATGACCAGACCTTGACATGTCTAGAGGCCAGTGAACACAGGAAGAAGAAGTGGACACTGAGCTTGAAGAACCTGAAGCCTGAAGACAGTGGCAAGTACACGTGCCGTGTGTCCAACCGGGCAGGTACCATCAACGCCACCTACAAAGTGGATGTGATCCGTGAGTGGCGGGGTCTGCGGCAGGACAGGGGCCTTTAATGCCTAAAACCCCGTGCTGACATGTTTGTTTATCCCTGGCGTAGAGCGGACTCGTTCCAAACCTGTGCTCACAGGGACACACCCTGTGAACACAACGGTGGACTTCGGCGGGACGACGTCCTTCCAGTGCAAGGTGCGCAGTGACGTCAAGCCTGTGATCCAGTGGCTGAAGCGGGTGGAGTACGGCTCTGAGGGACGCCACAACTCCACCATTGACGTGGGTGGCCAGAAGTTTGTGGTGTTGCCCACGGGTGATGTGTGGTCACGGCCTGATGGCTCCTACCTCAACAAGCTGCTCATCTCTCGGGCCCGCCAGGATGACGCCGGCATGTACATCTGCCTGGGTGCAAATACCATGGGCTACAGTTCCCGTAGCGCCTTCCTCACTGTGTTACCAGGTGTGTGTGGGCTGCCCACTCTGTGTTCACTCTCAGTCCCTACCACTTGGTTTGGGATGTCCTGGGGCTCCTCACTGTCCACCTGGTAGGTGGGGGCTCCCTGTCCTTTCCCCTTCCTTGTGGGTTATCCTTGCCTCAGAGGGAGTCCAGGGGTGCTGTCCATGCAGTTCACACTTGGACTGGTTGTCCCATTAGTACAGGGACATTCCGTCGCCTACTCTTCTCTTTATCTCTCTTGCAGACCCCAAACCTCCAGGGCCCCCAGTGGCTCCTTCATCCTCAACCACAAGCCTGCCATGGCCTGTGGTGATCGGCATCCCAGCGGGTGCTGTCTTCATCATAGGCACTGTGCTGCTCTGGCTTTGCCAGACCAAGAAGAAGCCATGTGCCCCTGCATCTACACTTCCTGTGCCTGGACATCGTCCCCCAGGGACATCCCGAGAACGCAGTGGTGACAAGGACCTGCCCTCATTGGCTGTCGGCATGTGTGAAGAGCATGGATCCACCATGGTCCCCCAGCACATCCTGGCCTCTGGCTCAACTGCCGGCCCCAAGCTGTACCCCAAGCTGTACACAGATGTGCACACACACACACATACACACACATGCACACACACGCTCTCATGTGGAGGGCAAGGGTCATCAGCACCAGCATGTCCACTCTCAGTGCTAAATACAGCCAATCTCCAAACACTGTGTCCTGAGGTAGGCATATGGGGGCCAAGACAACAGGGCGGGAGGATGGAGAGCAGTGGAGGAAGAGTATCTTAGGGTGCCTCGTGGTAGGCACTCTCAAACTTGGCCATAGAGATGTATGTACTACCAGATGAACAGACAGCTAGACCCACACATACACATGTTTAAAAGTGTAAATGTGTGCACAAGTGCACACACAACCTAAGAAGCTTTCAGGAGGATTTGTGGTGTGACTTTGCAGTGACATGTAGCGATGGCTAGTTGAAGGAATCTCCCTCAAGTCTTAGTGGTCATGACCACTTCCCCACCCCTGCCAATCTGTGTTCCTGCCCGGCCTTGGTGTGCCTCTGTGTGCCCTGGGTGTCCAGGAGCCTATCATCAACCTTACTGGGGTGAGCAGTGCAGTCATGCCTGGAGGTTTGAGCCACCCTCCCCTTGTTAGAGAGAAGGGCCTCAATATTTATATTTAAGAAGTGAAATAATATTAATGATAATGTAAGGGTGGCTGGGAGACAGGAACTCTGCCGTCCCTGGGGCCTGGGACCTGCCTGGCCTTGGGGTTACATTGGGTATCCTCACTGACCATGGCTGCCTGGTCTCTGTAATTTTATATAGAGTTTGAGCTGAAGCCTCGTATATTTAATTTATTTTGTTAAACAAGAAATTGACTCCTTTTTCTCATTCTGGTGTTTTTAACCTGGGGTTGCTCTGTGTGTGTATTTGCCAGTGAGCATACACGTGTGCTCACTTTTGTGTCTACTCGCATATATGCACTCATATATATGTGTGCATACATGTGCTAGCTTACATGAATCCACATGTACTGATCCTGTGCCTGTGTGTCTTTCCTCTAGGGGAGTGCCTGCCTCGCCTTTCCTAGGCCTCAGAGCTGGGTTTTCCCAGGCGTTGTCTTCTGTGGGATCATGGGTTTCTGAGCTTCACGGTACCAGGAGTGGCTGCAGCTAGCTGGTGGTATGAGTGTTTGTGCACCACTCTGGGGCCTGTTTGGAGTGTTGTTGTACACACCTGGCTGTTTATTATCTCTCTTTTCTGTGCATGACCCTGCCTTTAGCTGGGAACCTACTTTTTATTGTTCCATTTTATGTGGCCTTAGCAGGGAAGCTGCTTAGAGCTGAGATAGGGTCAGCCTCAGGTCACAGTAACCTCTTTCCTCAAGGTTCCAGCTGAGTGAACCCCAGGTACTCCTATGGCGATAATGGGTGGTTGTTCTTTTCAATCAGGGAAACTGAGGCTCCGATTTACCTAGCAGTTTTAGAGGCTGGGATGTCCATCTATGGGTCAGAGCTCCCTACGGCACATAGGGCTGGACGTGTGTCTCAGTAGTAGAGTGCTTGTCTAATATGTGGGAAGTCAATTCAGTCTCCAGTATCATGTGTGCATGCATAAAAATTCCACATGTATGATCCAGCAAGGTATTGGTGCCATGGGTCCTGCCATGGTTCTAAAAGCTTTTCCCTGAGTGTAGTCACCTTTCTTAGCATCTACAGATAACAAATGGCCACTGAGTTTCACCAGGTGTCTCTCTGTGTGGGCCCTTCAGGGATAAGGTTAGTTACTCTGGACATTTCTTATAGGACTCCCTCATAGGATGGCATATAGCCCTTGACCTCCTGGGGTAGCCATATTTGGATGGTCCTGGCTATTAGTGACAGGGCTATCTCTGGCTACCAGATGCTGGAGATGGCCAGTTGTATGTTCAAGGCACAGTGGGACATCAGGTCCACAGCTGGAGATAGACAGATATTCCTCATACAGAATGGTTCAGCAAGGTCAAGTTTGTCTGAAGTATGGGGAATTGGGAAGAGAGGAGATCTTAGGCAGTGAGTTTTCTGTGTCATACAGGTGCACTGCTCCAAGGAGCAGGCAGAAAGGATGGACACTAAGGGAAAGGTCAGGAACCAGCCAGTGAGAAGTAAGAGTGGCCCTGTCACTCCCTGCCTTTTATCTGCTGCCTCATAAACAAGACCTGCCTGGGAGAGCAGGTGGTGAGTGACAGGCTGAGAAAAGGGCTCCAAGTAGGTAAGACAAGCCCACCCTGTCCTCAGCAGGGTCTCTGGATACCCCAGAGTGATGATCTTGGAGTCAGAGCTCCTTGTCTACCTCAGACCTCTGAGGCCATCCCAGCTCGCACGCAGCCGTTGTGAGCCATGTCCCCAACGTCCCCAGCCCCAAGGCCTTTGTCTCCAGTTCAGTTCTGCAAGACCTCGTGTGGATGCGATTGCCTCATCCCTGTAGAAATGCATGCTGCTCACCCCACCCTAAGCCCCAGTTGCTTAAACACATTTTAAGGGGGCTGCTTTGTCACATGGGTAGAAATAAATGGCCTATGTACTTTGAACTTGGGTAGAAGAGGACAAAGCTTCTGAGGGCAGCCTGGCAGTGTCCAAAAGATGGATGGAGCTCTGGACCTTGGCCTTAGTGCTAGGAATCACCTGTCTATCCACCTATGTGCCTCCTCTTCCCAGGCCTGTATCATCCAGACTCTTCCTGCTTCCCAGGCCTAGAAGGAATGGGCATGTGCTGAGTGTGGTGTTGTTCTGAAAGCTGAGAGCAAAATCCTTTCAGAGATGAGGGCCTGTGGGTCCAGGAAGAAAGGAGGAGCCTGAAATAGCTCTACCCTGCCTGCTGCAACCCCTCACATGGACAAGTGCACATGTCCCTAGCTTTCCCAACTTAGAGGTCAAGAGGGGATACTGCTGTCCTTGGGGTGACCCACAGACCAGGCCAAGCGTGCTGAGTTCTGATTGGAAGTCATGTAGGAGGAGATTCAGTGTCCTGGTTTGAGGCTCAATGAGTGGTGGGTGCATGAGGGATGCAGTAGGGAGCCATGCTTGAGCCTCCCTCTGACCCATCTAGGCACTGATAAGCTGATTCACTGGGAAAGCCGGCAGACTTGAAAGGTTGGCCCAGACTCTGACACCCTTGGGTGTGACACCCCTCCCTACTTCAGCTTCAAAGGATGTCCATAAGCTGTCCTGCAGCTGTCCCTGGAGCCAGGGAGGGGCTAAGGCTAATGCCCAGAGCAGGGTGATACTACAAAGCAGAGATGAGAGAGACATGGGCTGCCCCACCCAGCAGTCAGAGGGCCTGGCTAGAGATCAGAGCCTTGTTCCAGGACCAGGACATGGGCACAGAGGACCTGTGACAGAAGAGATGTGTGTGTGTGTGTGTGTGTGTGTGTGTGTGTGTGTGTGTGTGTATACCTCAATAACACAGACTTGGCCAGGACACCAGGCAGGCCCAGAAGAGCTGCCTGATCTTCCTGACATCACAAGGCTGGGACATATGTAGCCAGGCTGGCCTTCAGGCATCAGGGACAGAATGTGGTGACCTGGGCTGCAGTGTAGGGGGCAGCTGCTCCCACAGCTGGTGGTAGCACACCATGCAAACTGCTTCTTGTGTCCTGGTAGAATAAGGACCTCAGCCCAGTTTTGTGGTGCAAGAGCTGTGGTTATTCAGTCAAGGAAGTTTTGACAGGACCCTTCTGAAATTTTGTACCTGGGGATGCAGGGGGCAGCTATGTGAAGACCCAAAGGTGGTCTTCACATAGAAGCTATATGAACTGACAGCTTATGTTAGGGACTCTAGAGCTCCAGAACTGATGGTTTATATTTTGGATTCATAAGTCTCTTTCTGAGGAGAGAGATCTGTGAAGGGCGTTCTTGCCTCAGGCTGTGGCTAAGGCTGACCAAGTTCCTGGGAGATCACTTGATTCCTCTGTTCCCTGAGTCGGCAGCCAGGAACCCTGGTTGGACAGGATAGCTATCTTTGGTGGTTGGGGTTCCTCAGAGAAAGAGTGGAAGGGTCCTATGAGGGACTTCTGTGACAGCAAGTCCAGCCTGCATAGGAGCCACCTTAGTCTGGAGAGGAGGGGGTCTCCAATATAGCTAGAGACAGGATCTGTTTGAAGCAGAAATGGATGCTATGGTCCCAGTTCTGGGCCCTCTGACTAGCCTATGACCTAGGCCTAACACTGTATAACTCCCACTTTGAGATCACAGGGAGATCCTGGTAAGCCTGCAGATAAATCTAAGGTCTGTCAAGAACTATTGCAACTAGGAATGGCTAAAACCTATGTGAAACCTTGTATGATCCCACCTTACCCCATGGTGGGCCAGGTTCTCTGTTCCAGATCTGGGCCAGTCTATTTTTTTTTTTTTTGAGACAGGGTTTCTTTGTTGCCCTGGCTGTCCTGGAACTCACTCTGTAGACCAGGCTGTCCTTAAATTCAGAGATCTGCCTGCCTCTGCTTCCTAAGTGCTGGGATGAAAGACTTGTGCCATCACTATCTGAAAACCCATTTTGTAATCCTTCTCAGCCAGCATTTACCCAAGCAAGATTGCCTGGTCAGGCTCAGATCTTCAGTTGTTCTGTTTCTCAGCCTTCCTTGGTTGCTGTATATAACTGGCTTTTCATGGGAGTCTGTCTCCCGTCCTCACATGGTCCCACCCATCAGGGCTTAGGTGGTTGTCCATACTGTCCTCTCATCATGCCCCACTTGGGGGAATCAAAAGCTTCCATGAGCCTTCTTCATCCTCACCTGGGCTCAGAGCCTTGTAGGCTATCCAGTGAGGAGAGGAGAAGGCTGGTACTCATGATACCCACCAATAGAATATTGCTTGCCTCCAAGACAATATTGGGTAGTAGGCTTGTCATGCAGCTCTCTATACCTTGAGTTGGAGGCTGCCTGTGCTTGGTGTCCAGGATCACTTCTCTGTCCCCATAATCTTGAATCTTGGTTAGAATCAGGCCCAGGGGTATAAGGCAAGGTGAAGAGAGCATCCTGAGCCTACTAGGAGTTGGGCTTCCAAAGGGATTCTGAAGACTGAGCTTTGGGACCCTAGCTCCTCCTGGTACCTTACTGATAGCAGGGCTGAGCCAGCCTATACTTGGTGTCTCTGATGTAAATGGAAGGCCCAGAGGAAGGTCCTTACCAGACTATTTACCCCCTCCCTCCTCATGACAGGGACAGGGAAGTTGGCCAGTTAATTGTCATTATAGTTTCCTGAGAGGCTTCTGATGGTCAGTGCTTGCCTCCAAGTAAGGTGGTAGCTTTCTACTGTGTGTGA